GACCGAAAGGGCAAGATCCCGGATACAGGCGGCCAAAATGAGCTTTCTCCGCAGGCCTGGGAACGCCTCAGCATTCCCCCGGAGGAGCTGGAGGAAGTGTCTGGAGAGAGGGAAGTCTGGGCATCTTTGCTTAGACTGCTGCCCCCGCGACCCAGTTCCGGATAAGCGGAGGAAAATGGATGGATGGATATTCACATTATCTTTAACGCACAATGCTGAGACAAAACATTATGACCACTCAGAGATGAAGTGAATAAGCATTGATTATCTCATAACAACAGTGAATGTCAAGGTCTGTGACATGTTAGATAGTAAGTGAACAGTTGGTTCTCATGGTCAACATGATATAGAATTGATTACCAATTTTTGTGTGCAGCACACATGCATACCAAAAAAAAAAAATCTGAGCAATGTTGTTATATTTTAAGTTTGACCACTACTTCTGCTGGTTCTGTAATTAAGGTTCGATTTACTCCAGTGTGACCGTTGAAGTGGGGTCACTGCTGTACATTCACTATCAACATGAAAAGGCTGCTATAGTCAGCATGCTGTTAAAGAAAAGACAAACTAAACTGTTCTTCTACTGTAATCACAGTCTGGCTCATGATTGTCACCACCAAAAAGGCAGAAGAAAGGATAGTAATAAAAATCAGTTTTACCAGCTCTTCTTGTGCTTTCTTCTTCTTGTCATCCTCGTTCTTCTTCTTGCTTTCTGGCATCACATCATCCAGCCAGCTCAGCTCTCTCTTGGTGAAGAAAAGGTCTAGCAGCTTTCGGATAAAGACCAGCGCCAGAACCTGGAGATACAGATACAAAGAATCTGTTTTCCAAAACTTCATATCACAAAGCTGAAATATAACATAGTCAAACACAATAAAAGTACATCTATTACAGAGAAAATGTTTAGTTTAATTTGACAACAATATGAGTTATGTATCATGGTGGTATAAGAATTGTTATCCAAGGTTGTTGCAGCTACACAGTGCTGTGGTGTGACAGTTAAGTGGATGAGGCTCTATCTGTTTCTACGTCTTTAATGCCTGATGTAGTAGGAGTGAGGCCATAAACTGCGTGACAGTCATTGAGGCTGAAGCCACTACCATCATGGGAAAGACGACAGCTGCTGCAGAGGCCTTGATGACCCAGAGCAGCACCAAACATGTGAGCTGCACCAGGGTGAAGACATGGACCTTCCACAGCGGCACATAGCGAAGGTAGATCAGATCAGGCTGGTGCTTTGCAGGCATGCCAAACAGCTTGATTCTGTCAAAGAGCTACAGAGAAAATGAGAGGAAAAAGACCAGGGTGGGAAGACGTTTAACAAAACCTTTGCAGGATTCTGATTTATCATCAAAGGTTCGGAACTACGACAGGCAAAACATATGGTTACTAACAGCTCATGACTGCTTTTCTGTTCATAATTAAAGAGTATACCGCTGTATCCTAGTCGAGGCTTACTTGAATGCCTTTGAGGGAAGAGGCACCCATGTAGAGAAAGACTCCATAAAGGACGGGCATAGGAATGAACTGTAAAGAGCAGAGGTAGAGTATAACAGCAGTATCAATTATTTAACTTCCAGTACAGGAAAAAAAAGTAACTAGGCATCTGTTGCACCAGGACACATTAATTAGGCAGAAAAGAGAAAACATCTGCAGTATGTTTGACAGATGGTAACACACTTTAGTGACTTTCTTTATTGTAGAATAAACTTACTTTTGTTAGACATTTAGCTGACCTTCTCATTTATGGTGATTTACTATGTGCGCAATGTGACAAAAGTCTATTATTCTGTTGTTTCCTTCATCTCACCTTGAGTACTGAAGTCATGAAAACAGAACAACCCATTAGGACAAAGATCATGATTCCAGTGACCCGCTGCTCCCGGATGCCCAGAAACTTGGGTTGTTCTCCTGGAGCGGAGCAGCCAGACTCTAGTTTCAGGCTGTTAACGTGGGAGATGGAAAGGACGGTCGCAGCCACGAACCATGGCAGACCCATAATGGAGCACACACCTAGCATTGCTGACACTACAAACAAGTCCAGGTGATAGCCACAGCCTTTCTGCAAGATACACAGTGAAGCAAGAGATGGCAAGAGGTGTTGAGGCAGTGATGAATGTTTTTCCACTGTGGAACAAGTGTACTACTCAAGTAAAACTAGAACTACAGAAAATAAGATACAAAAGCATAATTTAAAAAAAAATATAATATGCACACTGAAACCTTGAGCTTCAAATTCCTTACACATTTTCACTGTGGGCTGAATTCATTTTTAAATTAGAAGCACTGTTTAACTCTGAGGCCTAGAAATACCTAATTTCTGAGAGATGAACACAGTAGAAGGACAAAGAAAATAATATGTTTGCTCTAGCCATAATTAGGGGTGACAGAACAGGAGAAGGCTGGTGAGAGATGAGCAAGCTACAGGGAATTAGAGATGTAGAGATGGCAAACGTGAGTGTTCAGCTATAAAGAGAACAAGCTGGAGGAGGCAGCAATGAGTAGTAAGTTCAAAGAAAAGGTCGAATAAAAAAAACTTTCTGCTAAAATCACTTTCTGCATATTCTGTGTTAAACAACAGGGCTGCAGCCAAATTCAGCAGATTACATTTTATAAGGATGTTAATTTTATTACTAATACAATCAAATACTGAGTATTGCAATAATATTAATTGCAGTTTAATTCATGTTATATACTAACAACGAAGAAACCAAAACACTTACTCAAAAAACTCAAAATACATAGAGCAGTACTGCCAGTATATTAATAAACACGTTACAATGCTGACTTGGTATAATTCAAAATATGACTTTACTATGTTTGGATTCTTGCCCTGGATAGCTTTAGATGCTGCACAACTACAGTTTGAAGCACAGGATATTAAAGACGTGATGGGCAATACAGGCAAAATAAAAAAATACAGCTAAAAAGCTTCAGAAATTTTTAAAATTGATGTGTAATTTGGAGATTTAACACCACCAAAAGTAAATCTCTACAGTCAAGTCTGACCTTGAGCTTGTGCTCCTTGCGGTTTATGATGACAGCAGTGATCTGCTGGTCCATAAAGATGAGGATGGTGCAGAGCAGGGCAGGAAGTGCTGCCACCACCAGGGTCCACCAGGGGTTTTCTCCTAATGGGTCGATCAACCAGCCTCGGTGCTTTGAAGTTGGCTGCAGGGAAAAGGCAGGGATGAACTACATTTATTGTATGAATATTTGATGATGTGAACATTAATTAGTTTTTAAGAACTAAATTTAGACATCTGCCTCAAAAGAATATGTTTTTAGAAGATGTCTTAATGTTCGCTTTGCATACATTAAGACAGATAGCCTACCTCAAAGCGGTCAGGAACATTCAGTTTAGGAGATGGAATCCCCATTAGATAGTCCACCACCACCATGATCATGATGGTTAGAAATACACCAAAGTCACTGATAGTGGCACGCACCTATACAACATACAGCACACACACAAACAAAACATACTTATTGTAGGTAAATTTATTCAGGAATTTGAAAAGGGTGTGTATGCTATTTTCACTCAGTTTTAAATTCATGCTCATAATTATGGCCAGAAATAGAGGCTCCTTCACTACAACCACAGTAATTTACTGTGCATCACTGTCCAGATGTACCAAAGGAATAACTGCATTTTCCACCGTGTGGGAAGTTGCAAGATCTTAGGGGCAGCTGTGGCTCAGGGGTAGAGCAGGTCAACTCCTGATGGCAGGGTTAGTAGTTTGATTCCCCTTCTTCCCAGTCCACATGTCAGAGTGTCCTTGGGAAAGACACTGAACCCCAAATTGCTCCCGGTGGCCAGGCCGGCACCTTGCATGGTGTCTCCACTGCCATTGGTGTGTGTGAATGGGTGAATCTGCAAAGTGCTTTGTCCAGGTATGGTAGAAAAGGGGTATATAAGTGCAGTCCATTTAGCATTTAATTTCTGTGCATGTGTCTGTTCCTGAATACTAATGACTGACACAATGTAAACATTTACCAGATGAGAAGATTTCAGCTAGATACACTATAGCATGCACAGAGATGTAGAGAATGCCTGATTTAAACATGCCTTCATATATATCTATATTTTAACTAGTAATATAAAACCGTACTGTATTTTATATTACTAAAAGCCACCACATGTGGTGCACAGTAGTAGAAAAAAAGCACATTAACCAATCTAGCAAACATCAAACCTTGGTGGGAAAATATTTGTCCGTCTTGAACTGCTTGAGGAAGGAGGACAGGAAGAAGGTTGTGAAGAAGAGGATGATGGACCAGAAAAGCACATCCGGGATGTAGGGCCCATGGTGACCACAAGCTGGACCAACAAACTCTCCCTTGAGTGTTTTACACATCTAAAGAAAATGACAGTAATAGGAGCAGTTCTGTTAGCAGCTTAGTCATAGTCATGAGAGTGAATGTCCACTCTTCAAATGCAGTGTTTACATGTGACTGTAGGTGTAATTACTGCCTATCACACTGGAGGTCACTGCCTGCTTGCCTCACCGAAACACTGAGGCTGCTCCATTGGATGGATTCTGGACTGTATCCTGTCTGGTTCCACTCCTGCACGAGCTCATCTGAGACATTGGCTGGTGGAAAGCACTGACACCTGAGGATAACATAACAAATGCTAAGCAATGTCTGTATCCTGATCCTAAGTAGAAAAACATCTTTTCACTTTTCTTGTAAGCTTCATTTTAAAGTTAATTTAGAATAGGCTGCAGCAAATCATCTGTTAGCATCAGTCAGTTTTAAATGTATTATTTTGCAAGGGGGTAATTTGCATCTCGGCGCCGTGGAAGACATACTGGGAATAGCTCAAGCCACTACAATTACAGTTTTCAGCACCAAGAAAACTTAATGGGATACTATTTGTGTGCATAACCCATGCTACTTGATGTAACCCTTACTTAACATGACATCATGACTTAGAGTGTATTATAAAAGTGCCATGTTAGCTTAATTTTGGCACAGTAGCAGTGATAATCTGAAAATCTAAGTAAAAAAGCTATTTTGTCAGTGAAATATGATTTAATAAAGTAAATGCATTATTACATGAACAGATATTTCAAACTGAACTGTACATATATAAATATGGTGTACAGAAACAAACAGATAAACCACTTCTGGAATCGCACAAAAAAAACATGAACATTTCTTGATTTCTGGAAATGGTTGATCTTTTTTCTGTAACATACAGTATTTCTGCAAGAAGACAAATGATATACAGTGTTTAAACAATCATAAAGGACTGTCAGGACTTCTCAAAAAGAATCAGCAACATGCCTCATCCTGCTTCCTCCTAACAAAGGAAAACGTACACTTTTACAGAGGCAGTAATTTGAACAAGTGAATACAATACAATCTGTACAACAATGTATCTTCATTAGTAGTGTATACAGTACAGTATGAATGCATTTTAATACCTAAATCTTAACAGTGGTAATGCACTAAAATATTGCTAATATGAAACTTAAGGATATAAGTGACTGAAATGTCAGTACTTACGAATACAGAGTAAGGTTGTCTAAGTCATTGTGCATGTTGACAGGATAGTGTTCTCCCAGGTGAAAGAGCTTCTCTAAAGCCTCATAGATAAAGATGATGCAGATGAGCGAAGCAAAAGCCTCCTCTGTGAATCGGGTGATGTAGCAGACCAAGGAGCTAGCATCTGTGGCTACCAGGACAAGACACAGGAAGGCAGTCCACAGACCAATGCTGGTCCTTAGCGACAGGTAGCATAGACTATAGTCACTGGGGAAGATGACAAGGAGATGGATGGAAGAGGAATACAAATGCACATGTATAAGGGTTCAAACATGCACATTAGGTCAAATTAGACTGCTAGAATTCATGTAGAATGCTGTATGCAACAGAGACTATTTAGTTTTATTTTGACTGTTTCATCATGTCACAGCCAAAGTAAAGTTTCTTGAACTTACTTGCAAAACTTGAAGAGGATCTTCTCGAACACTAGAACAGGTCCTGTGCTGCCAAGAATAGTGAGGGGCTGCCCTGCGAAGAGGGAGTATGCCACTCCTGTCAGTGATGCCCCAAACAGAGATTCTATGGCGGCGAGATGAAACCATACAAAAGAAAACATAGAGGGAAAGGCTGAAGGAGATAAGACAGAGAAGAGAAGGAAAACCCTGACCAGAACACAAAAACATTCTGGGCTGCGTTTGAGAGGCTAGATAAAATGTTTGAATGTTTCCAGTCTGCTGACTTGTCCGAAATCATATCCCTGTAGCCCCACTAGCCCCAGCTGACTTTACTCAGATGCGTCACACACGCCAGCGCACAGACTGGGCCCATGCCAACAGTCCCTGGCCTAGTAAGGACATCAGGGTAAAAACTACAAGGGAGACAGAAAAGGAGGAGGGAGTAGTAAAAAGAGAGACATTATATGGACAAGACTGTACTCTAAAAATAAATTAGAGTATGGGAGGCAAAATAATCATATCCTTTTTTGGCCAGTGAAACATTTCTCTTGGCACACTAAATGACTTGCTTTATAAAAATGATCAAATAGGGGAGTCAGAAAATGTGGTTCTTCATTGAGAAGCCATAGCGATGGCTATGACCGGAGTGGACTGTGTGCAAATCATCACATTTAATGAGACTTAGGTAAATGTGATGGTGTAAGGAAGCACTGGAGTTGCTAACAGTGGCTCGGGGAAACATGCTGAGACTAGGTAACTTTAAATGGCCTTTGTGCTTTGATTTGAGGGTTCTAGGGAAAGTCACAGCATTCTTTTTGCATGCCAGCACAAAAATCACAAAAATATTTGATATGCTCACTTTTGATAGCCAAATGGTACCATCTTATTTGGTACAAAATGGCATTTAGACAACTGGGGAATTTTTCATCCCTACTGGGTTTATAAAGATCACAAGTGCTGACCTTCGCAGTAGGGGCTAAGCTTTTAGACTCACTATGTTGCCTTTTGTTGCCTCTCCGAGCAAACCTCCAAATGTAACAACAGGAGACATGCAGGCACAGTAGAGGAAGAGGATGGAGGCTAGACACTGCAGGCTGAAGGAGTCCCTGAAGTCACTCCAGTAGAACGGTGCCTTCCGCTTAACATCCGAGATCAAACCTCCAAATATCCTGGAGGTAGAGAAAGATAATATTATATAGTAACAGTTACACGGTTGCATTAAAACCCATTGGTGAGTTATGTTACAAGAATGGGAAGGATCAAGGGGACACCCCTGATTTACTCTCACACAAGGCAGCTATATATCAGTTCCCTTCAGAAATCAAATAAAATTCATAATGAGGCAGGAGCGCTCTAGATAACTGTGTTGGCACAAAGATCTCTGAGTCACCTGATAATCATTAAAGCAGTCATTCACCCTGTGAACTGCAATTCCTACAATTTTTACATGTGTTTATTCATCATGTTAAATAAAATTCAACCCAGTGTGTTTGATAATATAAAGTTAATAAAAGTGCAATTTTTGCAGTTATGGTTATTCAACTGGTAAGGAGTGGTTTTATGATTGTTTTTGTTTGCTTAAATGCTAATTGGTCTGAAGAAGGTTACGAGTTAAGCCAGTGTATCCACTGTGAAAGAGAGACGGTGTCATGAGATGGTAAGTGTGTCTTGCCCATACTGTACAGAGCTACTCTCTACCCACACTTCTTCTGGCTGTTTCTGCCTCTTTCTACTCGGCCTTTGAGGGATCGAAATCCATTTCTCACCTCGTATGTCTTTTCCTCTTTCTCTGACACCTGTCCAAATGCTCTGCTCTAAGGTCTTCTTTCATTTCTTTTCCCCAGCACCTCTGGAATAACCACCGCTGCCTGCCTCCACAACCCTCATGGTCTCTTTTATACAACCTGTTTCTCTAAATTTCTTTACATTAGCTTCTTGTGCTTTATCACACTCCTCTGTCTACCAGTAGCACTCTCGTTGCATGAACCTTTTATAGTAGTGGTGAAGGAGAGCAAATCTGTAAACAATACAGTGCCTCCCAACTGATGTGTACGTGTGCACAGTCTTGCTTTGCGGCCCAGGCTCTACAGACCCAGCATGAGTTATTCATAAATGTCAGCATATGAGGTTCACAGAGTACAGTAGAGGTGTATATGCTGAACACGTAGTAGTATTTACCTTATAACTTTTTACGTGTAACAGATTAACAGATTCTAGTCCACTTTAATGTAATGTAAGGTTAGAAAAAAACCCCCAAAGTTTTTACTTAAAAATATGTGCTTAATGTGTAAGTACTGTTGCTATTTGCTGTTTAGAAAAATACATAATTTAAAAATACTTTTGAGAATATTTTGCAATACTTCTTAATTTTAGAGCATTTACAGTAAAGACATTCTCATTATTGTAACAACAACTAAGTCTCTGTAACTAAAGAGGATAAAATGAGGTCCTAATCTCCCAAATAAGCTTTCTCCTGCAGCTTTTGTTAACAAATGGTGCTTGTCTCAACATAATCAACATGATATATTAAACATGCCTGCTTATGACAAATGAAGTGGTTAATTCAGCTAGGACGTGCTTTAATTATCAAATATTTCTGTCAGAATATCTGCTAATACAGTTGATGTTACTGCAAATTCTTGGAGTAAGTAAGGCCCATTTGGTTTAGTAACAATCAAAGGTTGTTCCAAGAAATTGTGCTGCACTTATACCTCCCAGTTCTCTGCAGCTCAGGCCCTGCATAATGGTCCTCCTCATTTTCCAGCTCTCCAGCGGGAGACGCAGTGCCGTTGGCCTGGGCTGGTCCCTTTCTCTTCATCTGGAATTCAGAGGGCATTTGAATTGTAATATACTGTAGTTCCATCCATTTCAGTTCCTTAGCTGCACTCTCAGTGATTACAGTAGTATGAAGTAATGTATAAAGTATATACAAATCTACATATACAGAAATAAAGTCAGTGAAACCAAACTTGCATATAGGTCTAGTAAATGTGTACCATGTTAGTATGCAGCTGGGTAATCATCTCTGCACAAATACCTGAATGGAAATTTCTGTATGTTTTGGAACATGGCAATTTAAGTAATGCTCATCTGTCCGTAGAACACAATCCAGATTAAGTTTAAAACAATTATACACTTTGGTATGCGACATGTGACTGAACAATCGGAGAGAGCCCCTAACCTGGGATGGGACATTCTTGGGGGGCTCAATCCGAATCGTGGGGTCCCATTCACCAGGAGGCAGGACAGTCACTTGATCAAGGAACTCGTCTATGCCAGAGAGGAGATCCGTTCGGTCTTTGGCCTTGTATGCCACATCATGGAAAATCTACATAGTACATATCATTAGGGGTTGTTTAATGTATCTATAATTATAGTACATGTTAAACTGTTTACAGCAAAGCCAGATTCACCTCATGCTAAAGGAGATATCAGTGCCACAAATAAAATAGACCATTTCTGCATGCATCTTAAATAACAAAAAAATCCAAATAAGTACTCAAGTTGAAGTTAGCTACTAAGAAGATTAATCCTTTTCTCACCTCATCTGTCATCAATGTGGCCATAGATCTGCCAATCTCATGGTACTGTGGTCCTTTACCATGAGGACCCAAAAGCAGGAAGAGAAACCTTTGAACAAGACACGCACACGCACCGGTGAAACACACCACATCTAATACTAACTGTGATACTAATAACAGTACGTGCTGTATTCACTTAAAGGCACATTGTAAAGTTTTTTATAAACAGAGCTGCAGTTACATTTATTGTTTCTTACCAAAACACACTGTATGTATCCTCTAGGTATAACAAAAATCTATCTACCTCCTCATAAAACAGGTGAGGATTAGGAAAGAGCTGTTTCCATTTTTACAAGCATCTATTCACAATCAAATCAAAATTTGCTGCTAGAGAATAACTTTTAAGAGTAAGAGACTTTTACTAATATTACATTTTTGGAATAAAAGTCTTTATGGCACTATCATTCCATTCCCCATCGTTATACCTTGTGGCTACAGGCACCTCTGTAAGGCCTGTGATTAGGACTGCTGGGGACAGTCGCACAAAAACAATAATGGGTTTGTCCAGGAAGTCCACTTCACCCACCAGCACATTGGAAGCCTCAGCACCAGGAGGAATTTTTTTCATGAAATTCATGTCCACCTGAAACCAATGCAACTGAAGAATCAGACATACAAACACTAATAAGAAAACAGATGCAAAGAAGAGGCAGATGTGATAGAGAATAAGAGTCCAGGCCATGGAAAGGCAACACATGTCTGCACATTCAAAAAGCGACAAAGACAAGGGAATGTAAAAGATGGCAGCAGGTTGTTGGGAAGCTAAGATTAATGAATGACACATAAGGAGTGTTAGCAGCTACATTAAGAATGACATAGCACTGAGCAAAGATTGTTGCTGTGATTCTTTTCTTATCATGTTACTTGAATAAATATCTCATATGTGCATGGAAATACAGTAATTTCTTCATTCCTGTGTAGAAAAAAACTGTGCCTCCATCCCTCTTCTGTATGCTCTGACTCATATACAGTAAACACCGAACTTTATTTTTGGCATAATGGATGGTTTTATAATGGTAACTACTTATGGCAGCCTGCCATTTTATTTAATGGATGAGGAACTGCAGAATGGGAGGCTAGATTTAGGCCATGTGAGGGAGGAATTTACAAAACTAAACACAGTTACATAACTACAGCACATAAGACTTTCGCTTCAATCATCAATTCTTAGTCAATTACAAGCAAAGCAATGACTAAAGATGCTGCTCACTGAGCCCAAATGAAATGGGCTGATGGGTATGTGAAGGAGGCTGTCATCGGGGCAGTTCTCAGCACAGGCCACTGAAATGTCTGTGATTGTCCAGAAACTGAGGAGGAACACTGATGGATCTGGTTCCATCCACCATAACGGACTGTTTCTGTGCTCAGTACTGTGATTAGGTTACCTTGCTTAAGTCGACACTGCTGCTTTCTCTACTGACCCCTGCTTTGGACGGCCTCCTCTCCATTGCCTTGTTGCCATCCAGGTTGTTTGGGAGAGAGCTCTGAGACACCAGTGGTCCTAGCAGGGATAGGGGTAAAGGGGGGGAGGGATAAAGTGGTGATGGACATTTTAAGTATTTAGGACACTATCACTGGAAGAGAATAGCTGTGTGGCTCGCCATGAAATACCATTTGTCTTTCATTTTTCTCTCAGCTCAGATTTTAATTTTGAAGAACTTAGGCAATTTCACAGGCACTGACTCTCTCTTGGCAAACAAACCTGATACAAAATCCTGGAATCACATGCTACTCACAAATGTTTGCGATGCAGCGCTGTAGATTAAAAGTGCACTGATTTAGTGTGATGTTTACATCTTATTATGGTCATTTTAAAAGAAAAATTGACTGCTGCATCAAGCATATACAATCACTTACACTCAGAGATAAGTTTTATTTTTCTTCCTTCTGAATGACATGAAAAGCATCTCTTGTACTGCAGGTTATCTACTGTACTATGTAAAGTTATAGTGGTAACTAGCTAAACTGGGTTCCTATGCCAACCCAGTTCTAGTTCATCACATAAAAGATCACTGATATCATACCAGTTTTACTTGAGGTTAACAGATACAGGGTTTGGAGTTATACTTTTATCAACGACCAGTAGCTGACTGGCATACAACAGAGAGGCAGTCAAAGTGATAATACACAAAGCAGCTAAAAGTGTTTAGTAGTTGTTGAGTTTTCAGTTTAATATTTCACATTTTTGGCTGTAAGACAAATGATTTCTTCCACCACAACTATTATGTGCCAGATGCAATGATTTAGTACATAGCTGTGATGGCTTTCCACAGATTTCACACGGCAATGTTTCTGATTACTCCCTATCTGCTGAGCTCCTTACTCTGGTGAATGAGTCAGTCTTGTTTAGCTCGAATTCATGTCATCTAAAAGGTGAGTGGATACGTTTGAAATGCCTGACATTTCATCTTCCTCAAACTTCAGTACCTTCAAGTGTTGAAGCTATGATATTTCTGTGCCTAACTGGTTGCACACTTCAACATTGCTTATGTGATTTGATCCATGCCAGATACAGGAAACGCTAGCACTTGAGGTGACATGAGAAGGAGAGATGAAATGAGGAAATAATGTATTACAAATCAAAGAATAGTATTTACATACTATCCTCTGAAATTCTGAAGTAACACTTCTTTTACCAGGTTTTCCTTCTTTTATAATTTCTCACATTTACATCAACATACTTCTCTTTTTGCTATCAAGACAAACCAACATTAAACACAGTATATACAAGGCTTAAGCATGATGCCACATTCTCATCTACAATTAATACTAAGTCAAAATTAAAATGTGTATTTTCTGCCAGCATGTGGTTTGGCCAGTGCTCCATGCCCTTGAGCTGTACCTGGGAGTAACCCAGATTCTGGGTAGCTGTGACTGCTGAACAGGAGCATGATTGATCAAATACTCAACAAAGCCTCTTGGAATAAGGGAGGGATTAGCTTATGTTATGTCCACCAATGCACTTCATTCAGGAAGGCTAAGCCCTGGAAAGCTCCCCATACCAGCCTTTTAAACAGTGGTGTCACAGTGCTACCGCATTCTTATGCAACAAAGTACTATGACTGAAATTATACAGATTTACTGACTCTTGCGTGGGGCTGGTAGCAACTGGGACTATTCTGATAAAAGGTGAATATAATACATTAATTTAAATACTGTAGTATATTGGGTCTTATAGCTGTATGGATATGAGCTGGGTCTAGTGCTGGTAACACTCAGAGAATACAATCATATAAATGGGCTACATAATGTCACTAAGTTACCAATAGTCCACCATTTTTCTATTTTAAAATAGCCTCTGTTTCACAAAACATAAGATTTGAAAAGCCTTCAGGTGGAGCACTGAATTAACATGGAGCAAGAGTACTATGGACTCCCAGCATGCCCTGCCTGTTTACAAGCATTTTACCTAAGACGTCATACTTCATACCCTGTGGGTCTATGGCAGGTACTGTATATATAACTTTAGAGTACATGCCAGAGAAAATAGTGCAAGAGTGTATGTATGTATATACTGTATATCACTGCATTGCTGACCATAATTTGTGACCTGTATGCTAGCCATTACTTACATCCAGAGAAATTCCTCTAAATGACAAATTAAAAGCATTTTACCCAATTTCCCTGTTCAATAAATGGTTACTTATTTTGAGTTAACACTGTACCACAGTGTGGTTTATACAGCCCTAAGTGTACACCAGAGCATATTATTAAACTGCTACAATAGAGGCTATAAACCCTCCTCTGAATAACAGTGCACTCAATGATCCCAAGAAGTACTATATTTTCCTAGAAGAGGGTACAATTACAGAAGTTCCCACCAAGTGATCCCTGGTTTTAATAGCCTATACTCTCAAATGAAGCAATTCCCAGGGTGAAACAAACAGACGTACACACATGCACACACAATCTAATAATAAACTGTCAAGGGTTGGTTTGGGAAGAACAAAAAGTCACTCGAGGTCTCAGTATGATAGGACAGTACCAACATAACCACCCTGGTCTCAGTCTTATATTTAGCCATTCTGCAGGCGACCATAGCCCTCACTGCGATCGTAATCGGGTAAAAGAATGTTTATTCATGATGAACAGGAAGAGCATGGGTACTAAATGATCCAATGAAATAAAGCACAAGTTGCATGACATTGTTCTGTGTATACTCCAGATGAAGCAGTCTCCAGGGGACAAAACATGTGACAACTGAAAGGATTTAGGTTGTATGATGTGAGTTTCTAGACAACATCAAACATATAAAAGAACACAAGAACTTAACAGCTAGGAATGCGCCAAGGCTATCTGCAAGATCTGTATCCGAGATCATGGCATTGTTTTATATTGATTACATATAAGTGATTAAAAGTCCAATCATTTTCAAATCCGTATTATAATAAATTGTGCTCTGAATAAGTAACCTATCAAAAAGGTCCAAAAGCATGTTGCTGTAACAGAAGGAATGTTTTCCTAATGCACTGTTCATGAGTAAAAAGCAGAGTGACACAAAAAATAAACAGCTGCCAATAATTAGATATCCACACTGAGATAGAGCGTTAGCAAGTAAAACCAGAAAACCTCTAGCTTAGAAAAACAGTCTTCCCGCCCAGTGTCACAACTCAGGGAATGTGGCAAGGAGAGAGTCTACACAACAGTTACAGTATATAAAAGTGGAACTTATTAAAACTAACATCATCACAAAGCAAAACAAGGAGAAGACTCAAGTGAGCTACATCAGCTGTGACCTTTCCATATCAACCAATCCTGCCAAAGGCTGTCTCCAAGACAGCGGAAGGACGTCACACCCAGTTTAAGTTAAATGTTTCAGTTGCACCACATTGCCTCTCTTCTGTCTTTCTCTGTCCCGCTCTCTCGTTTTTGTGGGATCAGCACCTCAGCTGTGTCGCTTGCTGTAATTAGTGACTCATGGGTTGTTGCGCACAGCTGAGGTACGTTATTGTAATGACTTCCCTACCTTATTTAAACCTCTGGCAGACGCTCTGTTGTCGCCAGAGCATTAACTTACACTGTGTTAGACATGGACATGTTGAGATAGTATGTGACAGTTTGAGTGAATGGCGAGGTTGTTGTGTTAGATAGGGCCACACATGTTGGTGAACTTTCCTAGCCATGTATATCTGACGGTGATTTTCCCAGCCATGGGTACCAGATGGCTAGCGCTACAGAGAGCGCTACACCAATCCAGTCTTCTCGTTCCTGTGTCCCTCCTGTCATCTCCTGTCGCCGTTCTCCTGTCTACTCGCCTGCCTTGTCCTGGTCCTCTACTCTCCTGTTTCCTGCAATCCTCCTACTCATCTGCTCATCCTAGTCTCCTCAGCCATCCCTGCCCTACCCTGGTTATTGTGTTATACGTGGACTCTTATCTTGTTTGTGTGTTTTTTCCATTAAACCTCCATTTTTCTACTAGCACCTGGGTCTGCAAACTTGAATCCTACCTCAGTTCTCCCTCACCCTCCTGGTGAGGGGGACTAAACCATAACAAAAACTTCCTGTTAAAACAGATCCATATAAATACTCCTCTCTCTATTGATACCATATGAAACTTCCAGATTCACAGTATAAAAGAACTACTACAGAAATCAATGATTTAAGTTAGATTTTCTATATGAGGATATCCATTGTGCAACCCATCTAAAATAGGCTGGCTTTCTTGATTTTCATGTATGCTAACTTGAGGACAAGTGTGTGCTGTGCGGCTGTATTATAAATTAAATAACATCAGCCGACAATAAAAATTAAAAGGCACAGACTGTGATTGGAAAAATGGAACAATGCAATTGGGGCGTCCCTATTAACAGGTATTACATGAAAAGCCTTTGCTGAGAAGAGTAAGATAGGGTAGAGCACTAAACACAGTAATAAAACATTACAGGAGAGGAAAGTATGTGGGAGAAAGAAAGACAGACCAAAATATTTTATAAGGCAGCCATGCAACCACAATGAAGGAAGTGTAAATGGGGACAGGGACAAGCGAGGCATAGATGCTACTGAATGGGTTGGAAATGTGTAAGGCAACAAAGAGACATCTGAATGGCAAAAAGAGGTACAAAGAGTTTTCAGTTTGGCGAGAGCAAGAGATATTAGTAGAAAAGAATGGATTAGTTGAATAGATAGGAAGAGAAGCAAGAATCATGAGGCGGTCAAAACGTTGTGGACAAATACAAGTGGGAAGCGCGTCTTAGCAAGTGAGCCTTGCTGTGGGTTATTGATTAGATGGCCGCAGGGTTGGAAATTAACAGGGAGCAGAGCGTTCATGCTAGTGCTAGTGTTCTCTGTTCAAGCCGTGACTCACACTGGCAGGCTACACAGATATTTGCCTTCTAAGGGCAGCAGCTCGAGGCCCTGGGATGCTGCGGATGCTCGCCGGCTGAGTTGTGGTGATGCTGCCTCTTCTTCTGCAGAGCTTCGTGGGTCGTCATCCTCAGGAGGTGATACCACCACCTCAGGGATGTCTTGAGGGCCAAGGCCTGCAACACTGGTGTGTGGCGGGCTTTGGGAGGAGCACCGGAACAAAGTGGGAGTATTCTGAGGGGTGGTGAGGGGCGAGGAGCCTGGGGAGAGCCCAGTGGTGAAGGAAGAAGAGGGCAGGAGGTGGTTGAGCAGCACAGACACTCGGGACTCTTGTCTCTGGTACAGGCTGGAGACAGAGCCGGTTGCTCCTGACTTGTGGAGAGAGAGGCGTGAAGAGGAGAGGCCCTCTCCTAATAAAGGAGACAATGTCAAAAAAGGAGAGGGGAGAGAGAGGAGAAAGGAGAAGGAGGTAAAGGAACAAGGGATGGAGTAGAGAGCAAAAACATATGAAGTAGGAGTACATCACAGAGATGGTAGCTGAAGGACACAAAGACAGAAAGGATGGGCACCACAAGCATAGCAGGGGTGTAGTTCGAGAGATTTGTGCTATTAGAGACATAAGTAAAAAGCTTGGCTGTGTGCAGAAGACACAGAATGATTCAGTGAGGCATGTAAGCGGGTCTGCAAGGGCCAAAAAACTTGTCTCGTTCAACTCCAAACAAACCAAACACAGAGATCTGAGACAAAGGTCTGAGCTTAAATAGATCTGCATGCAAGGAAAGGATGAGTTAGCAAAAAGCACTGTGCACTGTAAGCAACCACAAATAGAGCAATCATAAATCTTACACAGTACAATACATACTCACATGGACAAAGACATACATCTTTCACACTACAAGAATTAACTTCACCAGCCATTAATGTGATATTGAGTTTTGACCTTTCACATTTGTGTTTTAGGTTTAATGATATGAAAATGCAAGCCCAGCAAGAACCACAGGCACAGAAGTGAAGAATGTGACATTTCTTTCATTCTTAAAACCACAGGTTAGCACCCAGGATACTGAAATGCACACCATACATTAAATGCCACTGCAGCCAATCCCAGTCAAAAAAAAAAAAGCACACACACAGTGCTGCCTCAAGTATCATTTAAAGCAATAGTGATGTGTCGTCCTAGGGAGTGAAGACAATCATTAATTCAAACCCCAAAGCCAGACCAGCCATACAGGTTAGCACAATCAATAGCACCCAGATTTCTCTTTCACTAAGGGGACCGGCCGCTTCAATATTGATTATTCTCTAGATTTTACTCACTTTACCATCCACCTTCTACGCTGGCATTGAGGAATTTGAACAGTGGATTTTCAGGAACAGTTCCCCAGTAGTGGAAAATATGAAGGAAAAAGAAATGCGAGTGCATCATAGGATCTCACCATTTTTTTCAAGCAAGAGTGGGTCAGAATGTTTCTTGCCTATGTCAGCAATGGAGCGCACTAGAGGGATGCGATTGCTGAGTTTTCTCTCATTCTGGTGATGGTGTTTCTTCAGCATGGCTTCCCGCACTTTATCACGCAGATCCTCCTTCAGCTGGCCTGATGCCACCATGTTGTCTATCACCATGTCTGAGGACCACAAATACACACAGTCAGAGAAAACTACATTATGTGTCGGGCACTGACAATTTTTTTACCAGAGTAATGAATAATTCTGATGAATCTGCTTTATGTCAACCATTTCATAATGCTACATTAAAAATACAGTAAAAATGCTATGAACATGATTTAAAAGTGTATCGCAAAATGTACCCGCAATTTCCTCGATACTGTTGGCCCTCATATCCAGCATGACTGTGCCATTGAGTATACAGCTCCGTAGTTCAAATAAGCTGTGTAGTGACAATGTAGCCACATAGGGCTTACTCCATCTCTCTCCACCATCTTCGACATCCTCCTCAAACTTCAGCCATCTTTAGATAAAAACCAACAACAGACACACACACAACAATGTTTTTCTCTGATCCAAAAATAATATACAAAAAATGTCAAATTAAATAAATACGAGTTGCCATATAGCCTGTCCAGGGTGTACCCCGCCTCTCGCCCACAGCTGGCTGGGATTGGCTCCAGCCCCCTGTGACCCCGTTTGGGACTACGCGGTTTGGAAATTGGATGGATGGATGCAGTTGCCATATAGTTCAAGGGCATGTTGTTTTAGTTCATATTCCACAGCTACATTTTTCCTTTCACAAATTCAAATCTCACTCTCCAGACTGAGTGACTCATACTCCAAATCTGTTCTTTTACTGAACACAAGTTTATCAGTGAGGGAACAATATTTGAAATGCCAGCCAATTTAGGTCATAAATGCACTATGAAACTCAGAGTAAAATAGCCCTGTTAAAGTTTTGTAGAGCAGAGGCTGAGTGTAAGCCTAGTCTATGTCTCTTCAAATTCTCCAGTGGAGACTGGCTTGTAAAGAAAAAGTAATAAAATGGTTCAGGATTGCTGAGGATTCTGAGGGCTACATTAAGCAAAGCTATAAAACTAAACCACAGAGAGTTAGACATTTTTCACCAAATATAATAACAAAAGGAAGCACTTTAATCACAGGAATTATAATGCTGAACTACAAATGTGCATACTATGTGCATGTACTGTAAATGCCAGTAAAGCTGATTGTTATGACCAATGGTCAGGACCACAGTAGCTAAACAGGGTTTCTAGTTAACTCCTGATGATGCTTTTAAGCTAAAAGCTATCACACAGATGCAATACAAATTGGAAACCAACACATCTATAACATTTTGTATTGCTTTCACTTTGTGTAGTTGTCCTCATGCTGTTCACCCCACGAAGAAGTATGTCTGACCTGGCTGTCTCCTTCCATTCAGTGGCACGGCCCTCTCTGAAGGAGAGCTCATCGAGCTCAGTGAAAAGGTCATGAGGGACGTGCTCGAGGTCATCGTCCTCTGTGCCCAAGATGAACTGGACCCTCTGTGATGGTGTGTCTGGGCACAGAATGGGTAAAGGACACAATGTTAACACTAATGGTTTTAATGTATTATATGCTGTTAATGATACAGCGCTTTGGACTTTACCTTTAGTAGCACTATGGAATAGTTTTGTCATTTTTATTGAGTGCCTCTGGTTTGTTTCTTTGCACATGTAATTGCACACAGGTCACTCTGTACACTGTTCTGTCACTTCTACACTAATGTACATGTGGCCGTAACACACCAAGGAATTTGAAATCCACCAGCAAAAGCAGGAACAGAGAAGAAGAAAGCTAGTAAACATGGGTGTAAATGATGCATTTCCGAAAGAAACAAAATTATTGGCTTTGCAAATATTGTGCAAATAGGGTACAGTAAGACTAGTACATCACTGTAACTGCTTTTCATTCTGCCACATGCTTGATGCGAATTCTTTGATGAGAAACGTGCAAAATAGCATAATGAAAACAGGGACGCTTTCCAGCTATTTTCTTCCCACGTCTAACTGAATTTGAGGGCAGATATCAGGACATCTGGAACCACAGAAGATGGAAATAGATATGGCAGATTACAAGACTGTATACCACAGGGAGGCAGAAATGGAATGACTGGACGCAAAAAAGTGTGAGCTATTTTCTGTTAACATATTGGTACACTGTGTGATGGTCTGGTGTGTATCATGCGTGCGTGACTGCACTTCATATTAATGCTGCTGCTACTGCTTAGCATCATTCCAAACCTAGCCTATACCTGAACATAAAGATGTTTTAAACAAACTGACAAATATCAAGTCAACGACTCATGTTACTGACCCCTAAAGACACAGAAGGACTTTTCTAGACATTTCCAAAGTGTATACTGTTTATAGTATATGTAGTGTTTTGTTTGGTGTCACTTGGTTCAAAGCTTTTTTGGGTGCTTCTGAGTCAAGCAGTTGTGGTGATGAAGCAAATTCTTGCACAAACATTTGCACACATCCCTTAAAATGTCACAGCTTTCAATCAGTTCAGAGGCTATTTCCCAGTGGCCTTTTAGAGTCGAATGTTTTATTCACAACTGTGAATGACAGAGGAACACAAAGGGCTTAAGGAAAGCAATGCTCTAACCTCGCATCTGTGCATTGTTAAAGAGGAATTTGTTTCCTAATCTCAACTGCCACTGCAGCGCTTTGCAAACGAAGGTTGGAATTAAAGATGACATTTGCACTTTAAGATGTTTGTGGCACTGTAATTGCATTTCAAACTAAGCCTTTCTCCAAATGTACTTTTCCTTTCCTGCGCTTAAAAAGAATGAACAGTAGTTGTAGCATGTACAAATATTTGGGTACCTTAATAATTTAGTATTTTGAATTGCCCCTTTTGCCAACTGTTAAGTGTGGGGGTGGAAATATTCTGCTTTGGCATTGTGTGGCTGCCTGTGATGCATGTGACTCTGCACAAAGAGAGCAGAATGGATCTCACTAAATATCTGCAAATTCTTGATGGAAATGTCAGTCCAGAAAGTGAAACCGAAAAGAGGCTTCTACAACAGGACAATAATTCAAAGTGTACCTCAAAGTCCACCACGAACTACTGCAAGGAAGCTGAAAATGAAACTTTTGGAACAGCCCTCTGTCCCCTGACTTAAACATCATTGAAAATGTGTGTGTAGATCTTAGCAGTTAAGACTGACTGTCTTTTTTATTTTGCACAAATCCCATATGAGACTAAAACCAACAATGAATTTCATTTACTCACTGTAATTTCTGTGAAACCAGAATTTTGTTTAGCTTGACTGTCTGTGCCACAGACCTCCTCCACTGTTGCCAAAAAGTACTGAAAACACACCAGTGAGCCACACCATTACACTAGGTGACATGCTTCCTCCTCCAGAAATGTATGGGGTATGTCTCATTTCAAAAAGAGCTTCAAAGGCTATGAAAGGTATAAATTGGAGCAGTAAAGACATTCACTGTAGGCTTGATGTTATAAGTTAGAAGCAGTGTCCAACCATAAGAAGGGGAGTCCCTCCCATCTTCTGTCCCCTCCTCAGAATCTCTCTCCTTCTTCTTTCGGTGGTGTTTGTGTCCTCGGTGGCGACGCCTCCGTTTGTTCTCCCTCCCCAGGGGAACATGGACACCTACATACACTGCTCTGTGACCTAGAGAAAAGAAATTTGCAATATCATTTCAGACAGCTTTCCCTATATGTTGGTTTTCACACAAGGTGTAATACTGAGAAGAAGGAAAACCGGGGAAAGCAGGAATTGTATTTTATAAACATATTCATGTAAAATTACGCATGTAAAATAAAAGAAGAGACACACTATGAAAGAATCACTCTATGTTTTTAGATAAAGAAATAGATGTTCTGTGGTATATACTGCATCACATTTGTAACAGCTTCCATCTGTAACACTGTAAAATCTGATTATGTGAAGTCGTCTCTCTACTTTTTGACCAGCTATCACATACATTCTGTTAGGAATTAAAGCTCATAAACCAGCAAAGCATGTATTAAGTCGAATTCTTAAATGGAGTTCCATCATTGCATTCATGTGCCTTGTGTTTGATCTTTTGTTTCAATGCTGCCCATACAAACAGTAATGCAGACCCAGGAATGAGCAGTCAAAAATTCAACATTCAAGACAGAGGACAGAGAACTTCTTTTCATTTCTTCTGAGTGCTCTACAATAGATAACATACTTGAAGAAAACCAGAGTACATCATTTGACTTTTTCCACCCTTCAGCCCCCTCCACAAATGTTTTATCTACTCCCTCTCGCTAAATGCCATACAGGAGCTGTGTTCTGCAGTGCAAATGCCCTATTTTCACCCCTTGTTCTCTGCCAGTACTCATTTTTCACAGAGGCGTCATCTCTCTTTTTTGATTTGAGAGGGAACCCAAGAGAAATGAAACCGAGACATGGCACTAAAAGGCATAAGCAGCATACATGAGCTGAACAGATGGAGAGAAACAGAAAAAGAGGAGAGAATAGACACAGTAGATGAAAGAGGATGGAGAGAAAGAACCTGGAGGATATGAAGTGTGCTGGACTCAAAATGAGCAGTGAGCTGGGGGGGGCTCATTGGATGTTACATGCTACTAACTGATCTTATCATTTATTTTATACATCACTTCATCAGTTAGTCACATGATCTGTAAAAGTCATTGGTAAAAACCAACATAACAATAACAATACATTGTTTCCATATACATCACAAAATGGCAAGTATATTTTAAAAAACATAAAATCAACTTAACGTTCAATGCAAAAAACATTTAAAACACAAACTCCAACAACCCATTTTCCTCGTTTTTAAATTGTATTTTACAGTTATTAATCTGATCATGATGTGATGACAATGCAAATCTAAGCATCAAAATCCCGTCATTAAGGGCCCAAAGTGTCAGCAACAAGTAAATGAAAATAAAATACACTATAGTTTGATAATGCTATGTAAGTCACCTGTAATTGCTTAGTCTAGTTGACTTTAAACTTACTTTCCAACTCTTCTTTTTCATAGTTTGTGTGAGTAGTGAAGCTGGCCTTTCCATGGTCAACTACTGCCTCCTCATCTAGGCCCTGAGAATGACAATAAGAGAGAAAGGCGATAGAGGCAGAGGGAGAGGACAGGTAAACAGAAACATATTTGTCCATATTTTTCATGTGCCAACTGATTTTTATTATTCTAATATCCCCCAAATTTTACTGGTTTATATTAATTTATGGCAGATGTTTACCTTTATCTTTTTTTTTTAATAGTCCCACATTTTATAATTAGACTCGTGTATACAGCTCACTGGAAACGAAATGCTGCTCCCCCCTTGAGGAGATGCCAGTGTATGAAAAAAGATCAGGAATGTTTATCAGACTGCAGTGTTTCCGTTTGTGAAGGCACCAGCCAGTATAGCTCAGCTAGAAATGGACTGGTGGCAATACAGTATGGAGGTCCTTACCTTTCCTCTAACACTCCAAACATCATGACCACTTGTATGTTTGGCATCAAGTACTAAGTCTTGTTTGGTATGTTTACTGCATGCCAAACCACTTCATAGCTCTTGGTTTAAGCCCGGAAGTATTTCAGTTTGGTACATAGCCAGCACAGACAGTCCAACTCCACACCATTTAGACCACAATCTTATCTCCAAAATACTGTAACTGTACTGTATAATGCAGCTAGATTAAATCTTGAGGGTTTATCCATGTGCTATTTTCCATAAACTAATTAGCCTGTGTTGGAAAATATATTCATTGCTATGGTTCATGTGGTTGAGTTTCATAGCAACATAAGAGGCTGGCTACCTTCATTAAAAAAAAAGAGGTTATAATCTTAGTGAACATAATTACCAGGCTAACAATGTCATGGAAACATCAAGAGATCAGTTAGGAGACAGCGTTGTCAGGATACAAAGCAGGCACATATTATTAACATTCTTTATTAAATTACAGTGCCCTAAAACTGTAATTACAATACCCAAACACACATACATACAACTGCTACACTTTATCACAATTCTCACAAGACAAACAACATGCACAGACAAAAACCATAACCCAAACTTGGTTTGGTCCAATTACTAACATTGTTATTACCAGCCCCCTGGCTCCCTACCTGTAAGTGCCTGGACATGTAAGGCAGCCACAGAGACACCGTCTCCAATTACTGCTGCAACCGTTGCCAAAACAGCAGTGCTGGGAGAGGTCACTGTGGATCTACCAACTGAATAAAGAAACCAACCAGGTTGCAGAATACAGTTAATGAAACTAAGCATTAAACTCTTCCTATGACAGGTCTCATGTCACTAGAGCCCAAAACAATTATGCTTCTATGAATTTTTAAATAGGTCACATTCAGTCTCTTATATAAGTCATATCATACAATCAGACATTTCAGTAAATACAAATCTGCTGTTCGTCTGCCTCATAGACAAATACTTTGATGCAAGAGAGTATCCAATTGTAGGATCCTTTCAATCCCTTCAACCAATCACAGAGAGGCACTGCTGCCAAGCAGGAGAGAGTGGAAACAAAAGGTGATGATGTTAGCCACATACTAAAAGGACACATGATACGTGGTTGATTTCAGGGCCTTGTGTGTCTTAGCCCCAACATGCCAGTCACCTCCAATGACCACACTGAAGTTTCATTGTGATGGCACATACTGAATATATCTTCAATGACATTCAGATTTCCATATTACCAGGATCATTATCTTATAAGAACCCTACCTACAATGAATGGTGCCATCTGTGATTGTTTGTGTGCACATGTAAGCCTGTGTACACGTTTTCTTTTGCCAATGAATTTGCATGATATTGAGCCACGGTGCTCTCTGACACTGCTTTGATGAGGAGCACTAATAATTCAGCTGCAGAGAGGAAGAAGAGCAGCAAAAAAATGAACCCATCTCCAGTAA